AGGAAGGGAGGAAGAGGGGAGGGAGGGAGGAAGGAAGGGAGGAAGCTGATTAAGAAGGGAGGGAGGGAGGAAAGGAAGGGAAGAAGTTGGGAAGGAAGGAAGCTAGGGAAGGGAAGGAAGGAAGGAAAGAAAGAGGGAGAGAGGAAGGAAGAGGGAAGGGAGAAAGGGAAAGAAAGGGAGAGAGGGAGGAAGCCGATTAAGAAGGGAGGGAGGGAGGAAGGAAAGGAAGGGAAGAAATTGGGAAGGAAGGAAGGAAGCTAGGGAAGGGAAGGAAGGAAAGGGAGGGAGGGAGGGAGGGAGGAAGAGGGAATGAAAGGAAAGAAAGGGAGGGAGGAAGCTGATTAAGAAGGGAGGGAAGAAGGAAGGGAGGGAGGGAGGAAGGGAAGGAAGGGAAGAAGTTGGGAAGGAAGGAAGGAAGGAGGAAGAAAGGAAGAAGAGAGAAGAGAGGGAGGAAAGAAAGGGAGGGAGGAAGGAAAGGAAGGGAAGAAGTTGGGAAGGAAGGAAGGGAGGGAAGGAAGGAAGTTGATTGGGAAGGAAGGAAGGAAGGAAGGAAGGAAGGCTGACGCAGCCTATTTGCTGGGCTCCCGGTCTTTGGGGGGAGCAGGGGGTCCTCCTGCTCCCTCTGCAGTAGACGTAGTAGCAGCCCCCCCCCCGATTCTCTGCTTCCCAGCAAACCACCCCAGCAGCAGCAGCAGCCCCCCCCCCTCCGCCTGGCCACCACCACTTCCTGAGGCTCTTGGGAGCCGGACTTGGGCAGCCTGACAGGGGGGATCACTTTTCTTTCCTGAGCTAAATATACCGAGCAACAGCTGGTTCCCCTGCCCGCGTCCCTCGGGGAGATCGGGGCTGCTGCTCCGAGCTGAGCTGCGTGGAGGGTCTGGAGGACATTGCCAGCCTCTGGGTGGAGGTCACGGGCTGTGCTGGGGAGGGGGCTGCAGGGAAGCAGGTCTGCCCCTTTGCTTTGCCCCCCCCCGGCTTGGCTGCAGGGCTTCAGCGCGGCCTTCCGCCATCTTGGACGCTCTTGAGACGTTTCATCTCTACGCTTCTGGCCCTTCTTTCTGCCTAAAACCCCGGGCCTGGCTCTCTGCAGAGGCTCCCAATTGTCTCCCTTGCTCTTCCTAGGGCAGTGTTTCTCAACCTTGACCATTTGAAGGCATGTGGACTTCAACTCCCAGAATTCCACAGCCAGCGTTGCTGGCTGTGGAATTCTGGGAGTTGAAGTCCACATGCCTTAAAATGGTCAAGGTTGAGAAACACTGTCCTAGGGCTTGTAGCTTCACAGGGGACACTCTGGTGGGCATTGCAGAGAAAGAATGAGAAGAGCTGGAAGGGACCTTGGAGGTCTTCTAGTCCAACCCCTTGCTTAGGCAGGAAATCCTATGCCACTCCAGACCAATGGCTGTCCAGCCTCTTCTTGGAAACCTCCAGGGATGGAGCAGCCACAACTTCTGAAGGCAACTTCCATAAAACTGGTTGATTGTTCTCCCTGTCAGGAAATTCCTCCTTAGTTCCAGGTTGCTTCCCTCCTTGATTAGTTTCCATCCGTTGCTTCTTGTCCTGTCTTCTTCAGGGGCTTTGGGGAATGGGGTGACCCCCTCCTCTTTGGGGCAGCCCCTCAGATTCTGAAATATTGCTAGCTTGTCCCTCCTGGCCCTTTTTTTCTCTAGACTTTGTTGTTGTTGTTAATTGCGAAGTCGTCTCCGACCCATCGCGACCCCATGGGCAACGTTCCTCCAGGTCTTCCTGTCCTCTACCATCTTCTGGAGTCCATTTACGTTCACGCCTACTGCTTCAGGGACTCCATCCAGCCACCTCATTCTCTGTCGTCCCATTCTTCTCTTGGCCGCCATCTTTCCCAGCATTAGGCTCTTCTCCAGTGAGTCCTTCCTTCTCATTAGGTGGCCAAAGTACTTGAGTTTCCACTTCAGGATCTGGCCTTCTCAAGAGCAGTCGGGGTTGATCTCTTCTAGGACTGACCGGTTGGATCACCTTGCAGTCCAGGGGACTCGCAGGAGTCTTCTCCAGCACCAGAGTTCAAAGGCCTCCATGCTTTGGCGCTCGGCCTTTCTTATGGTCCAACTTTCACAGCCATACATTGCAACTGGGAAAACCATGGCCTGGACTATACGCACTTTTGTTGGCAGGGTGATGTCTCTGCTTTTTAGAATGCTGTCTAGATTTGCCATAGCTTTCCTCCCCAGGAGCAAGCGTCTTTTAATTTCTTGGCTGCAGTCCCCATCTAGACTGGCCGAACCCAAATCCTGCAATTCTTCCTATGTTTCAGTATCCAGGCCTTTAATCACCTTCCTTGCTCTTCTCTGCACTTTTTCCAACGTCTGGACATCTTTTTTTGTAATGTGGTGACCAAAACTGGATGCAGTACTGCAGGTGTGTGGCCTTACTCAGGCTTTGTAAAGCGGTAATAATGCTTCACCTGCTTTTGATTCTATGCCTCTGTTTATACAGCCCAGAAGTGTGTTAGCTTTTTTTTGGCTGCTGCCCCACATGACTGGCTCCTGTTTAAGGGATCGTCCACTAGGAAAGGATTCATCAAGCCGCAGCAGCTTGTGTGTGTGTGTGTGTGTGTGTGTGTGTGTGTGTGTGTAGCACCTTCTTCACCCTGGGAGAGGTTTCTCTCTCAATTGCAATTAGCTGCTTTTTTTTTGGTCCTGCCACACTTTCATTTCCTTTATTGCTGTCATTGTGAACACAGCACCCTCCATTTCAGAAGAAAAAACAACACAGGTTTTTTTTGTTCTTGACACTCTTGATTTGAATTTGCTTTTTTTTTTTGAAGTCCAAGAGTTTGGGAGTGGTGATGAACAGCAGGAAATGGTGTCAAAGGCTGCTCAATTTTTTATTCCTTTCTAGGTGCTTAAAAAACAACAACATGCAAATGTTTTTGTAATGAAGTTTGCTTAGAAGCCACAGCCACTTAATGCCTAGAGCAGGGTTAGGCAACCTTGGCTCTTTTATGACTCGTGGACTTCAACTCCCAGAATTCCTGAGCCAGCCTGGCTCAGCTTGGAAGCCTCTCCCTTTCCCCTCAGCACGGCTGGCTCAGGAATTCTGGGAGTTGAAGTCCACGAGTCATGAAGGGGCCAAGGCGGCCTACCCCTGCCCTAGGGCATTTTAGGCAGGCTTGCTTGCTTGTTGTGCACCAGTCCTGGCAGCCCCTTTTTGCAAGGTTGCTGAGCTGTGACAGCTGTTGGCAAGGACAGACTCAGTGAAAGGATGCAGGAGAACGAGACAGGTGGATGCCCCCCTCCCCCCTCCCGCAGAGTTGGCTGTCATGGGGCCAGTGGGTCTCACATAGGAAGCAGGTGGGAAAACGCAGTGGCAGCCTTTGCAACGGTTCGATGCCATCCATTTGCATAAGAACCAGGAAGGACTCCGACTTGCCCTGCCCTGGCCCTGATCCAGTCTCTGGTTGGCCAGAAGCCTTGCGGGGGGGGGTCCTTTGTGTGGGACGGATGTAGCTGGTTGACTCTGTCCGTCAGACCCACCCCAACGTAGGCATTTGGGAAAGAAAGAAAGAAAGAAAGAAAGAAAGAAAGAAAGAAAGAAAGAAAGAAAGAAAGAAAGAAAGAAAGAAAGAGAGAGAGAGAGAGAGAGAAAGAGAGAAAGAAAGAAAGAAAGAAAGAGAGAGAGAAAGAAAGAAAGAAAGAAAAAGAGAAAGAAAGAGAAAGAAAGAGAAAGAAAGAGAGAAAGAAAGAAAGAAAGAGAAAGAAAGAATGAAAGAAAGAGAAAGAAAGAAAGAAAGAAAAAGAAAGAAAGAGAGAGAAAGAAAGAAAGAGAAAGAAAGAAAGAAAGAAAGAAAGAAAGAAAGAAAGAAAGAAAGGCCTTCGACGCCATTGGATTGAAGTGAAAGGTTCTTTTACTAAAGCTAAGTGGTTGCAGCGAAAGTAAAGTTAGATCTGAATATTTCCTTGCAATGATTACACTTTCCCCCCTCCCCCTTGATCAGTCCATCAGGGCCCAGTAGGATGCCTTTGGGATGTTTTCGGATACGCGGTGCCTCTCCGTGCCGTTTCACATCTGGTTCCCAGGCCGGGTGCCCTTGGAGGCTGGGTGCTCACTCCGGTTTGGCACCTCTGCTTCTTGCCATGGGTCTCCCCTCCCACCACGGGTCTTCTCATTCCCAGGCCCACAGGCTGCTACCCCCCCCAATTCCCTCCCCCTCCCTCGCAGTGTACGGCAGGGTGCCAGCGAAGCGAAGAAGCCGGAGGTGGCAGGCCTGACTCTGTCGTTGTCTTCTGTTAGAAGTAAAGTCTTCATCCTGGTTCATCCAAGCCGGGAATAAATAAGCAAACATGGCGACTGCTTTGGGAAGAAGGTTACAGTTTATTGCAGAAAGATGGTTCTTCAGGAAAGTGCAGAGGAGAGAAGGGCTGAGCACATGGTGTAGTAGGTTTTATACCCCCTCTAGCCTTTTGTTTGGAATAGTTTCCTGTTCCTGTGGCATGAACCTTGAGGCTGTTTCTGAGTGTTTGTCTAGGCCAGTGGTTCTCAACCTGTGGGTCGGGACCCCATTTGGGGTCGAACGGCCATTTCACGGGGGTCGCCAAACAAGGCTGTCCGCCATTTTTTCCCCCTTTTCTTTGGCCACGCCCCTGGCACCCAGTGATGTATAGGTGGTTGGGGGTCACCACAACGTGGAGAACTGTATTATGGGGTCGCAGCATTAGAAAGGTTGAGAACCACTGGTCTAGGCCTTGATATCTGTGGTTTAATCCTATTATCATATCCTGCTTCCCAGGTGACTCCTAGAATTTGGGTGGGATATGCAGATCTTCTCTTTTGTCTTCTTGATTGCTCTGGCTTTAACTTTTTGATGGTTTTACATCTGCATTTGTATGGGGCTAACTCTTGCTTGGGACAAAGAAATTTGGGGCCAGGTTTGGTTTCTGCTTTTCAAAAAAATCCTTTTGGTGAAAAATATATTTTCCTTTTTAATATTTCCTTCTGGGGGGGCTAACTTCTATCACTTCCTTTCCCAGTTCTTGCGGGAAGACCTGAATTACCACGACCCCACCGTCAAGCACAGCACCTTCCACGGGGAGGACAAGCTCATCAGCGTGGAAGATCTTTGGAAGGCCTGGAAGGCATCGGAAGGTGAGCCTGGAGGGCCCCCACGGCTCGGGCACCTGCCAGGGGTGGCCGGCTCGGGACTCGCTGCCTGTGACGGCAGGAAGAGGCTCTGGGAAAGGCTGCCTAGCCCTGAGGGCCTGGCTGAGAGGCTGAGAAGGGTCAGGAGAAGACCTGGAGAATTCTTCCCCCCCCCTCCAAGAAGGCCAGTGGGCAGAAAAGGCTAAAGGGGGTTCAGGGGTTTTGCTTCTCTACCAAAGACAGACCCCTGTGGTCAACCTGCGACCATTGGAGCTTAGCACCCACTTTGGCTGTGGGGTCCTGGGTGCTCTCTGACTTTTGGTGGTTTTCTTCCAGGCCTTTCAGACCCAACTAGGAAACTTCTTCACTGCAAGGAGGAGGAGGAGGAGGAGGAGGAGGAGGAGGAGGAGGAGACCATCCTTCATGCTCTGTGAGCTTGGTTCATGACCCAATTAGGGAACATCATCAGTGGTAGAATGGAATGGGGTCGAATCTTGTTTATATAAAGTTGCGTGGCTGTGGTTTCCCCTTCATCATTTCATGATGAGGATTGTTTGTCTGGTGTTAATCCCTGCTTCTCTGGTTGTGGGCAGGAAAGGATGTGTTCTGGTCTTTTTTGTTTCCTTCGTATGGTTGCTTTGAATGGTGTGTAAATGTGATTTATGAGACCATCCGTTAGCCCTGATGAGGTTCTCTAGTTGGGTCATGAAAGGTCTGCAAGAAAACCGCCCAGCTCAGAGAGCAACAAGGACCCCCCCCAGTCCTTCCTTCCTTCCTTCCTTCCTTCCTTCCTTCCTTCCTTCCTTCCTTCCTTCCTTCCTTCCTTCCTTCCTTCCTTCCTTCCTTCTTTCCTTCCTTCCTTCCTTCATTCCTTCCTTCCTTCCTCCCTTCCTTCCTTCCTCCTTCCTTCCTTCCTTCCTTCCTTCCTTCCTTCCTTCCCAGCCCTGATGATATTCCCTAGTTGGGTCATGAAACATCTGCAAGAAAACCACCCAGCTCAGAGCACCAAGGACTCCCACAGTCCCTCCCTCCTTCCTTCCTTCCTTCCTTCCTTCCTTCCTTCCTTCCTTCCTTCCTTCCTTCCTTCCTTCCTTCCTTCCTTCCTTCCAGCCCTGATGATATTCCCTAGTTGGGTCATGAAACATCTGCAAGAAATCCACCCAGCTCAGAGCACCAAGGACTCCCACAGTCCCTCCCTCCCTCCCTCCCTCCCTCCCTCCCTTCCTTCCTTCCTTCCTTCCTTCCTTCCCTGATGATGTTCCCTAGTTGGGTCATGAAAGGTCTGCAAGAAAACCGCCCAGCTCAGAGCACCAAGGACCCCACAGTCCGTCCTTCCTTCCTTCCTTCCTTCCTTCCTTCCTTCCTTCCTTCCTTCCTTCCTTCCTTCCAGCCCTGATGAGGTTCCCTAGTTGGGTCATGAAAGGTCTGCAAGAAAACCGCCCAGCTCAGAGAGCAACAAGGACCCCCCCAGTCCTTCCTTCCTCCTTCCTTCCTTCCTTCCTTCCTTCCTTCCTTCCTTCCTTCCTTCCTTCCTTCCTTCCTTCCAGCCCTGATGAGGTTCCCTAGTTGGGTCATGAAACATCTGCAAGAAAACCACCCAGCTCGGAGAGCCCCCGGGACCCCTCATTTCAACCCTGAGCTACAAAGATTCTCTTCTATTGCTCCAGTTTGGCCTCTGTAGGAAAAGGAACCCACGTCAAGCACGGGAAAATCAGGAAGTCCGGGCAGTTCAAATGAATATAAAGTTTTCTTGCAAGCAGAGGCTCTCTGCAAGAATCTCCGCTATTAACGGTCCAAATGAATTGGCGGGAGATGAGAGTCAGCAGAATTCAAAGTGGGCTGGACGTAGGTCTCTTGTGGGCAGGAAGGGACTTGAGTCTGATGACGTGTTTGACCCCTCCTCCCTCCGACTCAGCCTGGTCGCCTCCTCCAAGTCATGCCTGGGCCTTTGAGCAAGGAAGCCCTTTGCCCCCCCTGACCTCCTCCTACCCCCCCAACCTCCCCCTCCCCCTCTTCCCCCTTCCTGACTCTGTTTCCCCTCCTCCAGACACCCCCTCTTCTCCCTCGAGGTGCAGCTGTGACTTGTTTCCGTTCATCACAGGACTTGTTTGTTTTGAAACTTTGTACAATGGCATTGGGGTTTTTTTTTTTCCTCCCCAGCGGTTTGGCAAGGTCTTTCACGCAACATGGCTGGCAGGGCAATAGGCAAGGACGTGTCAATCATTAATATTTTTCCAGGTGTCTTTTGGGGGTCACCTTAGTGGAGATGTACAGGCTTGGTGATTTGGGGGGATGTCACAGGAGAAAGCCAGGGGTGTCCAAAATCTTGGCAAAACTTTGAGACCTCTGGACGTCCACTCCCAGCCGGCTGAGGAATTCTGGGAGTTGAAGTCCACAGGTCTCAAAGTTGCCCCCGTTGGACAGCCCTGCCTTTAAAAGGAAGCACAGGAGCAGCAGCCGGGCAGGGGGCGTCCCTGCAGATAGGAGTGGGGGGATTGGGGGGGGGGCTCTGGCCAGGGAGGCTGGCTCTGTCCTGCAGCCTTGGGGGGGGGGGTCCCCTGGCCAGAGATTCACTCAGAGCAGGAGGGGGGCCACCAGCTTCCATCTTCTGAGTCTCTGTTCTCTCCTGTAGGCGGCCCTTTCACTAGGCAGACCCACCAGCCACCCTCCCCCCCAGCATGCTTTCCACTGATTCCCAAAGTCATCAGGGGACAGGCTCTCCCGTCACTGAAACCTTTTGAGAATTTCAGGATCTATTTCTCAAATAAATCCCTTTGCAGCAGGAAACTCCTGGCTAGACTTTTTTCTGCCCAACCCAGAAGGTCAGTTTAAGCCAGTGGTTCTCCACCTGTGGGTCGGGACCCCATTTGGGGTCGAACGACCATTTCACAGGGGTCGCCAAACAACGCAGTCCGCCATTTTCCCCCCCTTTTCCTTAGCTGTGCTACTCCCTTTTATTCTATTGGCTTTTGAAAGCCAATAGAATAGACTCTCTTGAATAGAGTCTAATTCTATTGGCTTTCAAACGCCAATAGGAATTGTCCAGGCTGTCTCTGCCCTGCTGAGCCTGCCAAAAGTCCCAGTCTGCAAACGGTGCTGCACCCGTTGAGTAGTCCTCGACTTACGACCGGTTGAGTAGTCCTCAACTTACGACCGGTTGTGGGTCACGGCATTAAAAAGGTTGAGAACCACTGGTTTAAGCGATTCCAGCTGCCCGGGACCAGGCGCCGTGTCTAGGTGCTTGGGGAGACATAGGGAGGCCCTCTAAGAACCAGGACCAGACCCTCTATGCAGGTGTCAGGCTGACAAGGGTGCTGAGAGCTTCCTTAGATAAGGCGGAGGCGCTTGGCCAGCCTCCCTCCGCCCTTATCCTGGTTTGGCTTCCCTTCGCCAAGCGCCAGGATCTCCTGGAGGGCAGCCTGTTATGGGGGGGGGCATCTCCTGCTTGCAGCCAGCTGCTCCCGGCCCCTCCCGCCAGCAGGCTCCAAAAAACAGGCTGAGACCCTGGGAAGAGGGCAGAGAAGGGCAGCAGAGGAGAGTAGGGGGCTGGAGGCTGAAACACAAGAGGGAGGGCTGTGGGAATTGGGTAGGTCTAGTGAAAAGAAGGATCAGGGCCGACATGACAGCAACATTCCAATATCTGAGCGGTTTTAATTGTAATATAGATTTGGAATTGTAAGTCACCCGTTGACTGCGATGGGCAGCTGTAGAAATGATAGATAGATAGATAGATAGATAGATAGATAGATAGATAGATAGATAGATAGATAGATAGATAGATAGATAGATAGATACAGGGAGAGGGGGGGAGGGGGGAGGGATAGATAGGTAGGTAGGTAGGTAGGTAGATAGATAGATAAAGACAGGGAGAGGGGGGGAGGGGGGAGGGATAGATAGATAGATAGATAGATAGATAGATAGATAGATAGATAGATAGATAGATAGATAGATAGATAGATAGATAGAGACAGGGAGAGGGGGGAGGGAGGGATAGATAGATAGATAGATAGATAGATAGATAGATAGATAGATAGATAGATAGATAGATAGATAGGGAGGGAGGGATAGATAGATAGATAGATAGATAGATAGATAGATAGATAGATAGATAGATAGATAGATAGATAGATAGATAGATAGAGACAGGGAGAGGGGGGAGGGGGGAGGGATAGATAGATAGATAGATAGATAGATAGATAGATAGGGAGGGAGGGATAGATAGATAGATAGATAGATAGATAGATAGATAGATAGATAGATAGATAGATAGATAGATAGATAGATAGATGGATAGAGGGAGGGAGAGAGAGAGATAGATAGATAGATAGATAGATAGATAGATAGATAGATAGATAGATAGATAGATAGATAGATAGATATGTAGATGGTGGGTAGATGGACAGACAGACAGAGAGACAGACAGACAGACAAGAGGGTAGGTAAGTAGATAAACAAACTGATAAATAAATAGATGACAGACAGACAGACCTATTTTGTGGCCCCAGAAGCCCTGCCCCATGTGGTGGCTGGAGCTTCTGCTAGGTGATACAGACTTTGGTCCTGATCCAGCTGAGCAAATCCTTCCCTTTCCTTCCTGAAGCGGAATTCCATGTGTTTGTGTGGAAGGGGAAATTTCTCTGCTTCCCTGAGCCTGGAGAGCAAGGCCACGGGGGCTTTCCTCGGGAGCTCTGCCCAGGGGAAGGCCAGGCCCTCCAGCCTCCAGCGAGACTTTCCACCCTGAGCTGATCAGAAAGGCCAGCTGACAATCGGTGCAGCTTCTCCTAGTTGGATGAAACGCTGTGCGAGGAAGGTCGAGGGGGCGGGTCTCACAGTCAGTCCATCAGGACCCTCCCCAAGGCCGCCCCATCTTGCAAGCTGCGCTCTCCCATCCTCACTACTATTGTGAGAGGGATCTCTGAGTCCTAGTGGACAATCTCTTAAATATGAGCCAGCCGTGTGCTGCAGCTGCCAAAAAAGCCAACATAGGGCTGGGCTGCATTAAGAGA